GAGGAATCACTGCTACCACACAACAGTTTGATTGGACGAGATTTTTCAGCAACAACTTTACCAAGACGAATAACTTTAGAGTTATCCGGAATAACTATATTATGAGGTTCGAGCAAATTGCGAATGAAAGAAATGTCATCAGAAATCCGCTGGGCTGGTGAAGCCGAAAAAGACTCAGGTACACCATAAATAATTGTATTTAAAGAGCATCTTTGACGTTCAATGCTTTCCTGCAATACCTGGAAGATAACATGGGAGCCTTGGCTAGGTGAACCAGCATCCTCCAGAGACGTAACTTTAGACTTAAGAATATTTAGTTCGCTGCGTAAGGTGGTATAGCCTTTAATTCAACAAATTGCAAAGATAGTTTCTTTAGGTCATTTTTCAATTCCTCAAATTATAAGGTTTGAGTAGACGAAATATTTTTATTTGCAGATAAAACTTCACCACGAAGTTTATCAAGAGCAGCCATAATGTCACTATTTGAAGGAGGTATGGACGAAGTAGACCTTGTGATGACTTTATTTGAAGTAGTAGTAGTAGTATTATTAGGAGTAGTTGGTTAACCCATATTGAAAAAAAAAATGATAACTATTTGGCACACAGTGTATATAAGACCGAGAAGTGTCAGTCAATAAACACACGATGTATATACCGTGTGCGGCGCGGACCTTATCGACAAAAGTGATTAAGATTATAGGACGACGAGATAGCACAGTCGGTGTAACCGTTGTACCGATAAAATTTAAAATAAAAGTACGTAAACTAAACTAAAGACTAGACGGTAAGAAGTGCACGACAGCCGCTAGTTAATCAAAAATCGAAAAAACTGCCATTACAGTAGTAGTTTTGGGCAGACAGACTCAAAAACGCACCGGTATACACTCGCACTTATTATCTTACTGTTTAAACATAAAACGGAAAAAACGATCTACTATTGCCAGAGTAATACAACAAAGGACGCGAGCGGTATGTTACTGTTACACGTTGTCAACAAATCTTGAATGATATTTGCGAAAGAGTGTACTGCGGTATCTAAGTCAGATGGGTTCTTTGAGGAGATGTTGAGAGGGATGGCATTTTCTATAGTTTGACTAAATTTTTTCCAGTTTGTTAGTGAGTGATAGTTGGGTAGTTTTTTGTAGCAGTTGAAGTATCGTTTAGAATGAGTAATATTGGTGTATGGTCAGAAGAGAGGTCTGAGGAATTGGTAATAGTAAACTTTATGTGGCTAGGGAGCGTAGTGATAAAAAAGTCTAGAACGTCGGGACGTCTATTGGCATGTGAGGCCCAATATGTAGGGTTAGGAGGAGATATTATTTTCGAGGATAAATTTGTTGAGAGTTCGACCTCTAGTATTAGGTTGGCTAAAACCCCACTGGGGATGTTCGGCGTTGAAGTCCCCACCCACCAGGAAGTGATTACCGAGGGAGTTAAAGGAGTGCTCAAAATCATTGGGATTTAATTTAGTGCCTGGACGGATGTAGGTCGATGAGATAGTGGTAAAAATATGATTTAGTGTTAGGGAGATGTTAGTGGACTGTATGACGTTATTTTGATATGGGGGAAGAATGGTATGTTTAATATTTGACTTTAATAAAATTGCAGAACCCGCGTGGGAAGAACCATCGGGATGGTTACATTGATATGTAGTATAACCAGGAATATTAAAGGAAGAGTTTGGTGTCAGGTGTGCTTCGCAGATGAGAAAAATATCAATGGAGTTTATTGAGAGAAAGGCATGAAGTTCGTTTTTTTGACGCACTAGTCCATTGGCATTCCATTGAAGGATTGAGATAGAGTGAGGAATATTATTTTGTCTATTTAACATTAGACAAAATTAGTTTCCAATGAGAGTAGTAAGTAGAGAGATCAGTGGATTAATGGTGGATTGGAAGTTTTTGAGATAGAACGCCATTTGGTGGGCTAGGTGGTCGGGATTTTGGGATGCGTTGGTGAGAATGTCTTGGCTCGGTAAATCGGTTGTTGTAGCTTGAGCATAAGATTTTTTGGGTTGGGTGTTCATATTGGAAGTAGAGTTTACATAAGTGAATTTTACATTAGAGGATACTTCTTTCAGGTTAGTATGAGTTGGGTTTGACCTCTTGAGATGGTGGACAGCTTGAATTTTTTTGAACACAGGGCATCCTCTGTAATTGGCTGGGTGGCCACCACTACATAGTGCGCATTTGCTGGTTGATCAGCAGGTTTTACACAGCTTTCTGAGAATCTCCACAGCGAACTCACTTTGGCGGGTGGTTGCAGTATGATTTTGTATGGCCGAAGCCTTGGCAACGGAGACATTGGATTGGATGGTTGTTTGGTCGGGGCTCTTCAATTTTTACCTTAGTATAGTAAAGGTGGTCAATTTTAAAGACATCTTTGTTGTTGATATCAGGCTCCAAATCAACGAAAAAGAACAGGAGAGGTTGTTTCGTGATTCCATGTAAAACATTTGTGACGTTACGAGGCATGTGTCCGAGAGCTGAGAGTTCTTTCTCTATTTCATTAATTGGTGTAGTTAGTTTCGTGAGTTATGAGCATTTTTAATTTACATTTATTATACAAGCATACCTCACTTAAAAACTGAATTGTCGTAAAAAAACTTCCAACAAAACACGGATAAAGTTCTTATCATCAAGTTTCATAATAGGTCGATTTACTCTAATTTTTAAGCTAACGGCATAAAACGTGAACTGCTGAGCGTAAATTTGGTATGTTAAGCGTTTGTAAGACGGAGACAACACATGCGGGTGTGGCGTCCTCTTCATGCAACAGGCTCTAGCTTTTTTCTTTTTGACACTAAAAAAAAATTAAGTTACATAATTTATGTTTAATACTAGATATCATGTTTACTTTAAACAGTAGGCATAATACTCACATGTAGCTATTGTCGAAGGTATTACGTACCTTATAGAGGAGTTTTTGAGGCAAATGTTTTTTTTCTGAAAGTTTAGTACCAAAAATCCGACAAGGAAAGCAATACATTGAATCTATTTCTAAGCTATAATCCAACCAATTATATTCAGCAAAGTATGATGCAGAAAATTCACGATTTTGGGAACCATAACACTTTTTAGATATGTCTATAGTAAAAATAACTTAGAAATGACTCATAGTTAAAGCATGATTATTATAAAATGTTCTTATATCACAATAAATTATAATACCCTTAACATTGCCGTGGTATATATTTAAATAAATACGAAAAGTAAAATATTTCCTTACTTGATGTTTTGGCTCAAATGGTCCAGTTTCTATGTTACCCAAATCTTTAGGGCTCATCGGATTATGACTTAGTTCATGTGACTGTACCACCGGTTTAGTAACTGTGCCAAATATTGTACTATATAAACTAGAAGCATCTGTTAGCCAATGGTATAGAAAAATTAGAACATTTAACTATTACCTAACTAATGAATTATTATTAATTAATAGACAAATTGTGTTTACCATGTGGATTCACAATACCCGGAGTTGATTCCTGTAGTTTAATTTCAAAAATGTTATAAATATGGTTTTTTTCAATACGTCTAAGTAGGTTACTACCACCAAGCGAGGAAAACAACAAGCGTATAAAATGTAAATCCGTGATGGACAAAATTAATTATTTAAGCTAAACGCGGATATCGATGAAAATACTAACGACGTTTATCGAGTAGATAATATAAAATCTGATTCTATTTTTAGCAAAAAGCCCCTATGTGCAGCTGGCAGGCACAGCGATTGTCGTCCGGTCGTTGTTACTTGTTAATCGTTATCGCCATTTATTAATTATGAATAATCGTATGTCTTTTACGACTACTTTTGTGTTTAGTTTTTTGACAACTTGGTGAACTTTTAAGTAGTATTTATGTAGTAAAAACTAAACGACATGATGCGTATTACGTTTTACACAAGGTAATTTCATAATATAGTTTTATAAAAAAAAAAAATAAATATTATTCCAAGATATTGGTACTATATTTAAAATTGAAGTTTAAATATGTAGGTACCGTTGGTGGGACTAGGAACTATGACAGAGGGGCTAAAATTATTGTTGGTGTGGTTTGACCCCCCCCCCCCAACCAGTTACACCTATGCTAATTCCTCTTATTCACAAGTTATTACTTAATATATCATGAATCATTTATGAAATTGGGTTCTAAAGTACACTTAAAAAATGAAGCTATTTGCACATATGGAGACTTAAAATAAATTGTCTAATGGAATTTTCATTAGAAAGTAAAAGAATATAAAAAAAATTTTACACACATATTTTCCGCTATTGACTGAAATATTTTTTTGTATGATTGCGGTATAGTTTTTAGCTGTGTATCCGCTTGTTACTGAATGTCGCACTCATCTTACACACCTTCCTTAATAATAATGAATAGAAACACTTTTCGACTTCAAAAGCTTATACTTTTGGAAAGGAAATATCAAAACAGTATATTAATTATTACAAATATTTGTCTTTAAACACACAATAGTTGACCATAATATTATATACCTATATATCCCTCTTATGAGAATCATGTCCTCTTAGCCCTACAAACTTTAAACGAGACACTTTTTGTCACATTTTTAGATAGTACCTAGTCCTGTTTTAATCTCCATATTATTATATGCTTGTGAAAAAAAATCCCTGTAAATTAAACAAACAAAAAACAATACAGTGACAGCTGAAAGAAAATTAACCAATTAATGCATTTTTGAAAACCTGTAGATCCCATCTGGACTTAGAATCATGGATCGACAAAATAGAAGATAAAATATCTTAACAAAATATATAGTATGGGTAATATTTTTTCTTGTGTCTGAAATACATTTTTGCGTGCGTACCTATAGCAACGATCGTACAATAACAAGGTGATTTATCTTTTATTTATGTTTATAAAGATTATTCGACAGTCTCCATTCAAGTGCCCTACAATATCGAGGACCAATAATCGCTGCAATAACTTCAATAATTGTACTCGTTCTTAATATTATAGACATCAGACTATCTACTAGGAATAATGTTTCATACGAAATTCCAAGAGCCATTAATCACCGCCTACTATAGCATCGGCAGCCGTCCGCTGGATAATTGGGCCGTTCATCAGGTAAGTGTATCAATCCATCCGATATAACTTTCCAACGCATTTTCATAATCTGTGAGTCGTTCAATATAAGTAAAACACTATAGGTAAAGTTTTCGAAACTGGGTTACCTAACCAATTTTATTAACTTGTTTAATTTGAGTTATCATAAAATAAAACATACCTGTCCTAAGTTAATATTAAAATATAAATTTCAGTAACTAAATTAAGTTATAAATCTTCAGGAAAATAATAACTTAAGTTAAATTAAAAGTTTTGTAATTTCTTTTTTTCTAATAGAATATTACAGAATACATCCTTATAACAGTTACGGTTGTGCAGTGTAAAGTGAAAGTGATAATTTTCTTATCTCTTATAAAAATTAAGTTTATTTAATTTAAAAATGCTGTGTTCAGTCGGTGACCATGAGATTTTTTAAAGCTACAATATTAGATGTTCAAATTTTAAACAATATTTACATAAATTTTTCATGTACAAGCATGAGAGAAATCAATTTTCGGAAACTAAATAAAACTAACACTGGGTCCAGTGAAAGCCTTTCTAAACTACTGAATCTGTACATTTTATGAGAAGTCAATTTGATGGGTTTGGAAAACAACTGTCTGAAGTTTTAAATTATATTAAAAAATTAAAAGCGAAGATTTATATCTTAAAAGAAAATAACTGTAAGCGGAATAATGATGTTAAAATGTTGTCGAAAACAATTAATTTATTTGAATGAAAATTAATAATGTGAAAATTACTGGGGTACCAGGGATAGCCAATGAAAACTGTGTGGAATGAAAAGAATAAATTGCATCCAAATTAAATGTCATGTTATCAGTAGTCAAGGCTTCCATTTGTAATAGAAAACATCTAATAACCCTAAACAAATTATAGCTGAGATAAACTCTTTAGAAAATAATGAAAAATTTACGGCAATTATGAAGGAAAGTAAATTAAATGCGAACAATTTGAGTGATAACTGGAGACAAGAAAAAATCTATATAAATAATTAACTTTCAACGTTTAATAGAAATTTATTATACAAGGCTAGGATGTTTTCAAAAGATAATGTACTTAGATTTGTATGGTTCAATAAATGCAAAGTATTTATAAAAAAGAATGAAAACCCTAAGCTTGTATAATATTTACACAATTACTGTGTCGACTGTTGCACAATGCTGACGTGTATCGTGTCTTGTGATCCAATTGATGGTTTTTAAGTTATATGTCTATTTACTATGATTCAAGAATTAAATTATCACATTTGTAAATCTAAATTTGCAGACTTAGACATACCTGTTAAATGTGATAGTTGTCTTTTATCAATGCATGCTAAACGTTTGTCTCTCTCGGTGATGGAATTAAAAGGCCTCTCTTTGAAAAATCGAAATCTAAAATTCTTTTTGAAGGCTGTGATGAAGGTTTGAAAGAAATACCTGAACTAAACAAGCATTTATAAAGAAATTGCTGATTGAAGTGGAAAACTTGAAAAACTCTTCATTTAAACAATTGAATAATAGTGGTTATGTTTTCATTATTAATTAAATTAATGAGAGTAATATCGCATACGTAATTTGATTTTCCTTAATACAGTCTAATTCGAGTTAAACCGGTCTAACGATCGGATCGTGTTTAACATTGCTCAAGTGAATCATTTTATAAAATATGCTATTTTAGTTGATTCTTAAATAACACAGTTTAATGCTTTCCGCTTTGGTCGCTGCCAAAAAGATAAATCACGTCATATACAACATTTTCATCCACATCTGAAATTTATGAAATTCTAAAAATAAACAAAAATTGTCTAAACTCGCTCCTCTTTCTTCAATCAACATAAGTACTGATCTGATCGAACCCCATACCAAAGATATTTCATGAGAAAACTTCGTGATGAAATGGCTACTAGCGACTCAAATGGAGAATCAAGTTTCACCATTAAGTTTTTCAAAGGTACACCTAAAATTGTACCACTTTCTTATAAAAACCAAGTTGATTCTCAATTTTTTTAAAAATTAAATGTTATTTACCAAAATTAACGTGGCCTAAGTGAACCAAACTCTAATTATTTTTTTAGTTCTATATTAAATATTAATTGTGATTTATTATTTTTATCCAAAACTTGGTTATGTTTTAATATAAATGACCTTGAGTTAGGTCTTGATAATTGTACTGCATTTAGATCTGATATAAATCCTAATCTTAGTTGTGATGGGGGTGTATTATTGGCTATTAAAAGAAACTTTAATTGTACAAGAATAAAAGTAAAATATATTCCTGGTATTGAACAAGTTTTTATGTTGATAAAATATAATGAGCTCAATGTATTAATTGGATGTGTTTACATACCTCCCAAATCTCAAAACACAGTTAAATACTTATTTAGAGCATTGTGAGGTTGTCGAGAACATCGCAGCTAATTATTCTATTGATAATATTCTTATAATCAACGATTTTCATTTGCACGGCTTCTCTCTGAACAATTACAATTATTCAATTAATAACCCATAAACAAATATTGTAATTAATTCTTACATAAATTATATAGGTTTAAATGAGTGAAGTAATATTCTGAACTACTGAAATGAAAACACCATAGATTTAATTTTTTCTGATTCCTATTTAGATACAATAGTCCCCGGTAGTTCACACACTCTATTTTGATACGTATCACCCACCTTTGGAATTTTTTTATCCAGTTAATTCACCCAAAGTTACTTTATGACCAACTTACTGATCCCCGTTGTTTTTGATTTTAATGATATTCTTAGGTTTCTGGCTAATCTCGATCTATTCTTCAATTTGAATAATTTAAAGTTAGATGTAGCTATCACAAAATTTTACAAAATTCTAAACCATATTCTTATCTATTTGTCATAAAACTAAAATTTAATCATAATAAATCACATGAAATCGTTTGGTATAATAAAGAGTTCAGAAATCTTACTAGATTAAAAAAGAAGGCTCATACTAAATATAAAATAACTAATGTTTATTCAGATTATTTAAAATTTTCGGATTTACAAACGAAATGATAACATTTATCTTACTGTGTTCAGGCAAATTGAACTATAAAAATTGAAAACAATATCAACTTTAATTAAAAATCTTCAAAAACACTTAAGTCCAATAAATCAGGTATTTCGTCTTTAGTTATGCTGGATGGCATTATTGCTAATAATATAGAGAATATTTCCAACTATTTTTCCCTCGTGTGTTCTGACAGCAAAATCATTAGTGGTAAACATGAAATATCGTATATTAAATATTATTCTGACCTTAAATGAAATTCGTGTGTTATTTCTGAAACAGAAAAACTGGAAACATTTCACTCCTTAAGTGCAACAGCTGCAGCTGGACTGGTCGGTTTACCACCAGTATTTTCAAAATCATGTCTCTCTGTACTTATCAAACCTTAACACTACTTATTCAATCCATCACTCTCTAGCTGGTTGTTTTCCTCGTTTCCAAATGTTTGGAAAAAATCATACTCTACAATCACCCCTAAAGCCGGTGATAAAAATAACGTCAATAACTATAGACATATCTTCAAACTATCAATTATACCTAAGGAATTTGAAGCGATAATCACTAAAAAAATATCTAATTTACTCTCTAAAAATATAACTCTCCATCAGCATAGTTTCTAACCAAAACACTATATACAAACAAATGTATTATTATTTCAAAACTTAATAACAGAACTCTTAGATAAGGGATATCAAGTAGATACCATTTTTATTGATTTTTAAAAATCTCTCAATTAAGTAAATCATACACTATTATTTACTTATATTATAAACTAAAAGCATTCGAATTTGAGGGAACTTCTCTGAGCATGCTTTACTCGTACGAGACTTAAGCTTACGCAATCAGTAAAAATATTGTTAAGCTCTTCTGGCGATTACCCGATGACCTCAGGTGTTCCTCGAGGCTCTCACCTAGGACTATTATCATTCCTTATAGAACCTAACCAAAGTTAATATTTTGTGGTTCGCTGATTATGCAACATTATTCTTTGATTTTAAAATATTAATGATACCAATGTTTTACAAATCGGCCTCAGTACATTTTATCAATGTAAAGAACTAAATCTTCTTCCTCTATATAAAAACAAATGAAAAGCTTTTTCACGTAGTAAGAATCCAATAATATATCTTTATCAAACTAATAACTATTCTCTTGATAGAGTTAACTCTATTAAGGATTCAGGTGTTTACTTCGAAAATGATTTATTATTTAAGTTGAAACATAGAATAATTATAAATAAATCATATAAAATGCTAGGTTTTATCAATAGGAACACAAAAGAGTTCAAAAAACTAATTTGTCTAAAAACATTATATATGCCATGAGTATGATCTAACATTGAATTCGGTTCATTCATTTGGTCAACTAATTATTCAAAATATAGCAATGAACTTGACATTGTTCAATATAAATTTCTTAAGAGAATTTCTTATGTATCCAATGTATAACAAAAGATACTGCTGATGTTGTTGAAAACTTTTTGAGCCTTGACTCACCTAATATCAGACGTAAATTATCAGACATCGTGTTTATTTACGATATTATGAACAACCTAATTGAATATCCCAAGTTATTATCAGAACTTGATTCCCGTTTACTAGGTAAAAACACTAGAAATGTAGATCTATGCGTAGTGCCTAATAATAGCACTAATAGAGGTAATAATTTTTTTTTCAATAGCTTTTGTTATAGTTAATAAGATTTTTTTCATTTCCTCATTCACTACGACTACGAGAAACACAAGGAATACACTATTAAGATTTAAGACTTTAGAATTAATAAAATCATTGTATTAATATTAATTGTGTTAGAATTACTTTGAACATGTACAACAGTTATTAAAATCTTTTTAAGATTGATCGCATATATATAATAAATAAATAAATAATACAAGAGGAATGTGATTTATCTAAACTTTTGTAAACTAATATAATCTTTTCTTATTAATTGTAAATCTATTTTCCCCCATCATTATTAATAATTTTAGCTTG